TTTTCGTCGAAAGTGTGATTACGATAATTATACGCCGTGGCATTGATCATACGAGTGAATAGTGAGTGGAAATGAAGAATTTCACGCGTGCGATATAAAGTTCGTGAAGTGAGGTGATTAACTCTCGGCTCTTTTTCGCAGCGAAAAATTGCCTGGTATTATTTTAGAATAAGCGCCAAAATGCTACGGTAAAAAATCTAATGAATAAAGCAACTATTTGTATAGAAGTATTTTCGAAAATTAAAATAAATTATAAAAAGAATTCTACAAAAATAAATATATAAATTCTCTCTCTCTCTCTCTTGTTCTCTTTGCTTCTTGCTCGCTTTTTATATTCATCCCTTACTATATTTAATAAATAATTTTCTGCGCGATACTGATTTTACTTAATCAATAACATCTCAAAGAATGTCTCGGAAATTTATAGCTATTTCCCAGCGTGGAAAGGTTCGGTTTCAAAGGGCAAATCGATCTCACCACAAAGCCAATAATCCGGCATCCTCGTCAAAGTAAACGAACATTACACACAGGCGCCTTACCGAGGCACGATGCGACCCTTCTATCGGCAAACCCTCACGTTCTACGGAGGTCTCACGTGATCTCTCGCGTTTGTGCGAACCAGCCCTCTGCTTCCCCCGCAGCATTCGAGCTTTCTCTGCTTGATCGAGTACCCAGACTGCCATTACGTTACATACCCGGTCTCTCACACTCGTCGCATAAGAGAATCTCGCCGTTCGGGCTAATATCAGTGCGGCTGCAGATGCATCGCACTACCGTATGCGCCAGAATACAGGTCTAGGGGGTCAGCAGGGAAGAGGAGGGGGACACCGAGATGTCGTGGAAGAGAGGCCTCACGATGTCTGGTTTCCCCGGTTCTTGCCGCCTGTTTACTATCCTGGAAGACCGAGCCTGTTGGCACACACAGCCTGGTATGGTAGCAGTCGCCTGTTTCGTATTTGACGCGGCATAATAACGGAGAAAAGCCTCGGCGCGGTTCGAGGTACTAAAAGGGCCTGCTCTGCAGAAACTATTGGCTATTGCATGGCGAGCACTGGCTACCGGTTCCCCAGCGACTGGAGAACAAGGACGCATTGCGGGGTGAAGGTTACGGATGATGAGGCTTCGATTATTCAAGCGGACTTTCGAGATTGCAATATAATTTACTTAGAACTGTCCCCAGTAGATTATTATAATTATTATATTTTTTGGCGTATTTTATTGGATACAAGCGTATATATGTTTTATTACATTAGCAAATTATTTATTGTTGTTGGAAGAATATAATGTATGCTCTGAGCAGATTTAGATACTGGATCTTGAAGTTTATAAATTCTTCTGGAGTTGGATCTTTTTCAGTCTGAGAGTACTTTTATCCATAATTTATATTTATATAAATGCTTCAAATATATTCTCTGAATAAAAGAGATCAGTTTCCAATCGATCATGAATAAAAACGCTTCCATCTAAAGCAAAGGCAAGTCGGAGACGAATCTCTAGTCTCGAGAGATCACGATATTTCGGAAGAATGTGTACCGAATGGCGATCATCAAAGATGACTTCGTATGCAGGCGGAATCGCCTGGAGGCGTGCGGAGATTTCGGGACCGATAAAAAAGAAGAAAAGTACCGAGGGCGGGTGGAGAAAAAGGTATATCGCGTAGAGACGCGGGGCGAGAATCGTGTGACCTTCGATCTCGAAGGAAACCTCAGGTTCTCCATATCCAACGAGTGATGTCGTTCGTTAGTCGCTCGTACCATCGGTCAGGGTTTCTCAACTCGCTCTATCTGGAATTCCAGGAGGAGCGGCCCGAGTTACGACGATGATATCAATACTCGCGGGAGATACACCAGCGGAAGAGGAGAAAGAGAGCACCATATCTCGCGCGATATCATTGTGGCGCGTTAGTGTCTCTTCTACGGAGGTACATTGTCTGTCAAAAGTTCGTAGAAATCGTTGAAAAAATGTAATTTAAGCTCTAAACATGAAATGCATAGGTTTATTATGTGAAATACTTTCTTTAAAATTAATAAATATTGAATAGCTATTTTATTATCAATATGCGAAACGTTGCATAATAAATTCCTCACATAGATTAATTGATATTTCTCAATACTTTTTTTTATTACATCTCATAATCGAGATATCAAAGTACGAAGAACGTATTATGATCGAACAATATGTTGAATATTCGACATGCGATCGTTATTTACATCGCTGTCATATAAAAGACAGCACGGTTTTCTAACGGAGAAGAAAATTGAAGGACTTAAACAACAATTCCCATGATGAAATATAAACAAGTCCACGTGAAACAAGGGCTTTTTCACGTCGGTCAATAAAACGAACTTCTCCAAGTTCTCGGATCGTTATTGCCCCCGCTGAAGGAGATAAAACCGCTACCACCGGAATTCCATGTGCGTCACGTTCGTGTCGCGCGTTTTGAAATTCGAAGCAGGTTCCGGTTCCTTCCAAGAGTCACATGGCTCAACAGCAGGGTCCGCGGCTCATCTCTTCGCGGGATTGTTGTTGTCGCATCGACCTCTTCTACTCATCCTCTTCCTCCTCCTCCTCCGCATTATGATGTAATCCACATGCGTCTCCGGGGTTCTCGGATGTACGAGGTATCCATACCGCGTCTCTCGTCGCCTTGAACTTAAAACATCGTATATGTACTGATAGAAGACCACACGTGTATAAGCTTCATACGATTTCTCGCGTTCCTAACGAGTGTGCATGCTTTGCGTCAATGATGTAGAATAGTGTCGGTGCTTCAATAGCATTATGTCATCGTATTGTCACCGTTAAGTTTTATATAATGATTGACGCTAAATCAAATATTAATTTCGATCGATTGATTTAGGACATTACGGAATATGACTCTCTTTTTGCAGAAATATGCAATTCGGTCTTCAGACATTTGAAATATACGATTCTATATTTATCATTTTGCAATAATTCTCACCTGTTCATTTATCTTTTTTCTTGTAGCCGTTTGCTTAAATCTTTTTCATCTCATTGTAGCCATCTCTGCGGTGGATATGACGTAGTATTTTTAAGTTCGGCGCGCAATTATGCGTTTTTTCGAGAAGAGAGAAATGATGATCGTTTGGCGTTCGTAAGCGTAATGAGTTCGCGTTACTAATGACTGTACGTTTGTGATCATGGCGAAGGACCGGATGCCGCCAGACTTGCTGATCAATCGACGATAGTCGCGACAACCTCGGCAATTACTACGAACTCGTTTATAGCCCCCTGACATTTTTCTCGCGTGCACGAAATATCATTTGATCGCGATCGTTAATTTCGCGGCAGCTTTGAGCGGTCAATCGCGCATCTCGTAGCAAAGTGACATTTCGAAGAAACGCCAAAGGATGCTTATATTGGATGTCATCCTCGTCGTAACAAGTTCTAAACCGTGGTTGCACTCTCCAGTTAATTAATTCCTCAAGAGCGTCAAAGTCTTTAAGAATTTGTAGCGAATCGCGATTTGTACTATCAACGAATTTTATCTCATAATTTTATCGTATATATTAAAATAAAGATTCAACCCTTCTCTCTTGTAAAATTATAAAAGATGATATTTTCGCAATGACACCGACATCTTTTAGCAACATCTTTTTGCCTTTTTTCATGGTAACTATCCAGGACATCCGCGCAAGCCAAGATTACACTTCCTGAGTGTAACATCGCCATTTTCGCCAAGGTAACGACATGGTTAATCCGTCCTTTCCGGCAAAAGTGCAGAATGACTGCGACCGTCGCTTTTACCGAAGGAAGCAGTGCTCATCGGTCTGCGCTTCTCGTGTCTGACGCACGTTCTTCTCCATGTCCAGCAACATTCAGTCTCCCACAGACACTCAGGCTCGACACGAGCGCGTGCTGGAGACGCGCTTATGGGTATGTTCGGCCCTATCTCTCTCTTTCTCTTTCTCTTCATGCGCGAGCGTGACATAGGAGTACTTGGGGATACGAAGAAGGTAAGGTAAGTAAGGCTCGTGCTCTGTCCGGTGACTGAACCCACACCGCATTTCACGTAAGGAGCGCACATGCATGCACCAGCACACACTCGTAAAACCGGCGAGCATATATACACACTCATTCGCCCGAGACATCAGACCGAAGGGAGAAGAACCGTTTGGAGAACCGAGAATCTCATCAGTTAAGATATCGACGTGCTTTTTGGATTGAGGCATGGAGATTTACTGCGCATACGGGTGGAAGCTACTTATTAATCCGTGTTATTTTGCTATCGCGCTATCGACCCCTAGGCCGTGAGAAGAACGATTATTACTTCGAGAAGTAGGTGCAACGACTGCGAAATTATGTGACGTTAAGAGAGATATTTAGTTTCCTGATTCTTATGGAATTCTTATTAACGTGCATCATGAATCTTGCATCTTGAACAAGTTTCGTGAATATCTTAGAGTATTTTTAATATTATACTATATTTTTAAAAAATTGTAAGATATCGAGCTATATTACAAGAATGCAATTCTAAAGTTATGTTACATTTTTGTTGAATCACTGCATAAAACAGAGATTACAATACGTGAGTAATTCCCACAAATTTGAGTGTCACTTTTCTAAATTTTTTTTAATTTCTTAAATTTTTTTTAATTATCTATTTTCTTAAAATTTCCTGAAATTTTCCTTATCTTTGTAAAGGAACAAAGCCGATATATCAGGTTGAGCCTTGGCTTAGCGTTTCTCGAAGGCTCGAAGGGTTTGTTTAAGTATCAGGAAGTACGCGGAAGAGCGCGGCTGCATGGAAGAGAGGCTCTTCATGGAAGTGTGTGCGCATCTTTGCTCCGGTCTGTCATAAACTTTCCGAGAAGGAGAGTCTTGATTACGAATGTCATGATTAGAAGAAGTGACATATTCACGACAGTTTAATCGCAGCGTTTGCATTTGCGGAACGTTCGCACGAATCTATCACGCTCGTCGAAGGAAAATCAAGAGCAACTATTAAAAAGAATGACAATAAATTTATGATCACGTACCTTGTCCTCGCATGTCTTATGGCAAATGTACTTGCACACTGAAACAAAAAAAAATTCGAATGCATAATACAATTTCAATCAGACGCATTAATTCTAATATCTGATTCCTTCCGTGAGATTTATAAGCAAATTTTAATCGAACGATAATAATAGATAGAGCCCTAGAATTTTATTCGTATCAATCGCGTTACGAATCGATAAAATCACCGTTGTATTAAGCATTATAATCACGTCTTTGATTTACGCTGTCATATTAATATACATGCTAATTACCCATTCGATGCGAACGTAAGAAATCAGTCCGATTTAATCTTTGCATGTGCCAATGCGCGTGCGATCGAAAGCGCGTTTTTACATTAATCGTAATAATCGTTCGATATAATCTAGAGCACCCGGCAACGACTTAATAGCAGCAATAATGTTGATAGTAAGAAGAAAAATATCGAGTTTCGACCCCCGCAGCGACGTCGTTCTAACCCGCACTTTCCCGCCAAGCGGAGCTTCCGTATCTACGATTGATTCCAGAGTACTACCGACGAGAGCCAGCTGTTACTCGGTACCCTGAAGGGAATGATGTTATCGACTTACCTCTGCAGCAGGAGGCTTGCTTGATCACCGCCTGGTGGCACAAATGACATGGTCTGGGCTTGCGCAATTGCTTGGTGCGGAACACGTGGCACTGCGGTTCAAAATCGCTCTAAAACATGGCAAGGAGAGGACCTAATTATTATAATGATCGTGTTTTAGATAGGGGAAAAAAACGACTGGCGCCATTTCGCGTTTCTTGCGATCGAGTTTTTTCATCGAGATCGATCAATTAGTCGCGAGAATCTCTCGAACGATTAATCTCGTTAAGGCACGGCATTATAAATGAGTAGCCTGTTCGACAGTGGCACTCGAAGGGGGGAAAAATGCCCGATGTTTGAAACGAGGTCGCAGATATATATCTCATGGCTACAGCAAGGGTCATTATAATGTGATGAAATATTTACGAGCAAAATTATTAAGATTGAGAGATGCTTATGTTAAACATGCGTTCATCAATAAATACATGGTTGCTTAAATGACTTATAAATGTAATGCATGTTTATATATTATATCTGAATATTTATGATATTTTTATTAGTCTGTCGTTATTTATTAATATTCCATTCCGTATAAAAGGGAATCTACACTTGCGTCTTGATAAACACTGTCATATTAATGTTATATAAGAGTAATAAAACAAAATGTTACAAGTAATATACATAAGTATTACTGATAAGTTATTAATTAATTGTCAATTCCAATATTATTGTATACTATTATATGACATTATTATATTCCAATACAATTGATTCATAGAATCGATGATAGAATTGGTCATTAAATGAATAAAATAAATTATATGTATTTAATTTGTAAAATTTACAATTTGATTTATATAGAAATATCGATTTTTTTGCTTCAAATAGGCCGTATATAAATGAATTATTTTTAATATTTATCCGCTTAATTTTAAATAATCTATTTATATTCTAGTTTACTTGAGATTATATTAGAAATTAAACTGAGAAAGAAGAAATATATTTTGAATCTTATGTTAATACATTAATATCAGTCTTGGGTATTTATTATTAGTGCAATGAACGATGTTTATAGAAACTTTACATGATCCGTCTCTACTGATCCGTATTTTAATAGATGATAGGAACTTAAAGGAAGTAAATACAAGTTATACAATTTATACAAGAGAATGTAAATTCATCAAAAGTATATCATAAACATAAATATCTTTAAATCGATGCAAGAAGTTTACTTACGACGAAACGTCAGAATGCGGCGGACGTTCGCAATATTGCGGGCCCAGCGATGCGAGCCCATACGATTAATCACATAACAAACCGAGGATCAGCTCCGCTTAATCACTACTCCGAAGATCCTCCCCCTTCTCTCTTTCTCTCTCTCTCCCTTTCATTTTGCACGCGCGTTTCGCGGCAATTATAATTATTCTCATGTGTGGCTTTTCTGCGGTCTCGGATAGAAGAGGGCTCTCGAACGGACGGTCGGCGCATAAATTGAGAAAACAGAACAGCCATTCATTAGGATCGCGTTTATCCTCGGATATGCTGCCGGCGAAACGCTCGCCTCTATGACTCCGGTACGACGGTCAACCTGTTAACAGTACTTAAGCCGGTGCACGGCACTTCGTCGGGAGAGGCAGTTCGCAAAGTTATGCGCAAATAAGCGCCCGAGGCATACCGCATCCTCCGCAAAGCGCAGCCTCCGATTACGGACACGCGATGCGCGGGCCCTTCCTCGAGAGAGAAGTGGATACCTCCGTCTTTTCACCCACGATCGATCAAAGCCCCGCAGAGGAAAAACGCAGATTTGAATACGAGTTACGATGCCGACGAATTGCGCTCCGTGAAGCACGAACGAGTGATCGCGCGCACACACACATAAGATAATTTTACATACGTACAGGTAACTAAAAAAATTTCACATAAGGAAATAAATTTCCTTGGAATCGAAATATTTTAACCGAGATAATAGAGCATAAAATACATATTGTAAAAAAAGTTTTCACAATGGTTTGCATTGTATTTAAAAGGAAGTCACATTTTAAAGAGAAAGAGAAAAGTTAATAAAAAATGAAAGAGAAAACAATTTTAATTCATACAAAACCAAGCGTGTATGAGCATATACTTCGTTATAATTTGCGAGAGCTCACAAATGCATATAAATGCTCACGCACACGAGCGTTTTCCTGACTGCGGATATTTAACGGGTTTAATCATCGCACGTGCAATGCAGTGCAGCAATAAAGCGAGCCACGTAATTGAGACACGAGAAAAACGCGTCGTTCGAAGGGGGCGAGATCCTTGGTTGAAATTTGCATTCCGTTGTCGATGTATTGATTTTATTGCATACACACACGGCGCACTCTTTTTTATCAATTCTCTCTCTTTCTCTTTTTCTCTTCGAGCGTCCGAGAGTGAAACGCGTTGACGGCCGAAGCAAAATTATCGGGCAATTATTTCGTAATTATCAGTTTTACGATGTCGCGAGATTTCAGTTTTACACGTCGTAAATTATTATGTTATACAAACTCGAAGAACAACAGTCTTCCTTATTGATCATTATACGACGCGACGCTTTCCTCACTCATCATCATCGTAAACGTAAGTCGCCACGTGTTCATCCTTTTTATCGAACGATAAAACACACTGTTGCCCATTGTATTTTGCTCCGAGTCCTTGCCAAGTTTGATCTATGGACACTGCGTTTGTCGAAATTACTTCTTGCTTGGTTTCTCGTGTAATGATACCATAGCTATATATTGTTACATGCATTTTGTTGTCGTAAAAGTTGATTTATACGACACAATTGAAACTCCTATATACGTATAATATAAACTTGGAGATAAATATAAATTTCCCATGAATTTATTTGCGACTTGCATGAATTTATTTTAATTTAACATATTAATCTATTTAAAAAAAATTAATGTAAGGAGGAGAGAGAAAGAGAGAAAAAAATAACTCAATTATCAGGATTTGTCAAAATTCGAAGAATAGATTTAATACTCTTTTTCTATCATGAATTTTATAGTTTTGCATAAATTTTCCACGTAATTATTTTTGCATCGGTTTCTCGAATGTAGAATATCATATTTGGCAAGTACGTTATATTCGAAAAATAATAAGCCTCGCATTAATTATCATGACTGAAAACTATTGTACACTTCTCAGAGATCACGGAGGAATCTAAACGAAATAAATGTAGCAGATGTAAGACGATTAATAGCAACAAGGATACATTAAAACGATGCTTTTGCAGAGCATATTTCTCATCATAAATTAAGAAAAAAATAACGACACGAATGTAATATGCGTTACACTGTTCAAATATCGTTCCTTGAGAACAAAGATTATATACTTATTATGATTAGTGTATCTTAATTGCCAGATTCATTAGTACGTTGAGACCTTTGACATCACTAGATAAAGCACCGCTTTTGATCATTGCGCTACTAATTGATCTTTAATCTCTGCACAAATTGGCGAAATTATATGCGATCTTTCTGACATGCATGTCGCTCTTACAACTTTCAAAACTCAAGATATTTACTTCATCGTAAATATTTATTTGCACAGTCAATTATCATCTTTTATTTTTAAGCAACTTAAAAATATACATATATAGTTTTTTATGTGTAAATATAAGCTATATTTTTTAAATATATATGTTTTAAATAAATTCTGCAATCAAGATAAGTTTTCCCTTGCGATACGTGGAATTCGTTTAATGAGCGAGCTGATTTAGGACCACATCATGAATAATCCACCTTGCCGCGGGTGGATAATAACTATATTTCATAATAGATTCGGTGAATCGCGCGATATATCATGTAACGTGTAATTTCAGCGTTGCATATGTTCAATGGACGCAATACGCATATAAAATGTGCGGTCTAGCACAATTTGTGATAAATGCGTACGACGATCCAGCCCGTTTTAATAAATTCAAAACGAATCATCAGATACAGTTCTAACTTTAAGCGGTTTTTGTTTCATTAAATCTGGAATGCTTTATTACAGTTTGATAATAGATTATGAGCAATATTATATTTTAATAATTATATTATTGGATATATTTGTCTCTCATACATAATTATATATGTTATTATAAAAATTTAAACTTTTTTATATTTAAAAATAATACTTTCGTAATAAGAAAAAAATAACAGGAGAGAAAATGAATTGAATAGAAATATGTCTTAATAAAAAGCTAATATATACATATATTAATAATAATATATTAATAAAAAAATATTAATAAAAAAGTATAATAAATTTTAAAACTTTAACGTTAAAGATAACGTTATTCACTTATAATTATTATAAAATACATTATTAAATAACGTTAAACAATATTTTATACGTTATTAATAACGTATTTAATAACGTTAAACAATATTTTTAATCTTTTATAGTAATAAATTTTCATAGATTTTTATGTTTTGATTCGAAAGCAGTGATTTTTTTATATCAATTACGGTAAATGTATTGATCTACCAAGACGCAACTCTCGAAGATATCCCGCTGAGCGCACTTAAGCTGTTCCCAGTTGAGTTATCATGTTCTAATTAAGAAGTATAACTTGTTTCACTAAATGAACAAAACTAAAGGTGGAAAATAGAATTTTAAATTCCTAAAAAGATTTCTTCATAAAAAAACTTTAATCCTACTTGATGTTATAATTATGTTAATTAAATTTTTTTAAAAATAACATTTTCATTAACCTTCTTTTATGATGAGACTTTATTCGCCGTTATAAAAAAAGATCCAAGGTCCGAGTTCCGCAGTTTTATTTTAGCATAACCAGAACCTCAACCTGGAATCTATTTAGAGATCTTCTTTCTCTGATCAAATATGGAACTCATGCTGAAAGTGAGGAGCTTATACGGGTTCAAAGCTCTGGTAAGCGATTCAAGTGGCTTTCAAGTGCGCTTTCTCTATCGCGATATCATGTAGACCAGCGCGAGATCGTTCGAAAGAAAACGAAAAGGTTCGAGCGACGAGAGGCGAACGCGCGAGTTCGAACAGAGCTGGCTTTGTCGCGTTTGCGCTTGCAAACGAGTCGGAACACTTTGATTTGCATTAACCGCGAAGATACAAAGAGGAGAACGCGGCGTTCTCTCTATCTCCCTCC